TTAATAGAAATGGGTTAATTTAAGATGTAAGAGCTAGTTAGAAATACACCTGAGCCATCAGCAAAATAGTATTGTAATTAATATAGTTTCTGTGTGATTATTCAGGTCTGGGCAGCAGGGAAACGAAAGTGCAGTCTCTGTTTACAGTTTTCCATTAAAAAAAAACGTATGTGGCTACTTTTAAAGTATGTTCATGAGCTTCGTTTACACTCTTGTGTGTTTGCCCTCTTTCCCCCAGCCCTATTGAAGTCTGATTTTCATGCCATTCTCTGGTGTGTAGTTTGACGAGTTTGGGCAAGGGTGCATTGTGCAATTGCTCCCTCAGTTGAGATAGACAGCTATGGCTTTTACTCTTGTCCTTTGTAACCAGCCACCTCCTCTTACCACCACACACACACCAATTATATGTGTTTTTAAAAGGGTTTCTTTTTAATGATGTTATTGTGGGGGGGGGTAGGTGTGTGCACATTGATACAGTGCCTTTGGGGGCTAGAAGAAGGCATCCGATCCCCTGGGGCTTGAGTTAGAAGTGGTTGTGAAGTGGGTGTGGGAACCAGACTTAAGTCCTCTGACAGAACAGCAAGCACTCTTAACAGCTGAGCCATCTCTCCAGAATTAAAAAGCAAAAACAAAAAACATTTTAAACATGGATCTTTTTAAAAAAAAAAAAATACGTTTCTGGATGTGGTGGTGCACATCTTTAATCCAAGCATTCGGGAGGTAGAGGCAGAGGCAGATAGATTTCTGTGAGTTCCAGGCTAGCCTAAGCTACACAGTGAGACTCTGTCTCAAAAAAAAAGTTACAATCCCAGCTATCTGTGGCTAATAATTAGAAATAAAATTATTATTATTTTATCTTATGTTTATGAGTATTTGGCCTCCATGTATGTCTGTGCACCACATGTGTACCTGATGCATGTGGAGGCCACAAGAAGGTGTCAGATGCCCTGGAACTAGAGTTACAGATGGTTGTGAGCTGCCATGTGGGTGCTGGGAATTGAACCCAGGTCCTCTGCAAGAGCAGCCAGCGCTCTTAAACCGCTGAGCTGGTGTTTTTCTGATACAGAAATATACAAGTGAAAATGTTCATTAAGTCTGTTTTTAGTGAGGTCACTGACTTACTTTGTAGACGGCTGATGTTTTCTGAGTCTGACGGTCACAGTGCCCGTGCCTCCCCTCTCCTGCCTCGCTGCACTGGCTTAGGCAGTTTTCCCTCTGTCGTCCTTCTCACTGGCTTCCAGCCTGGTGCACATCAGGTCAGCCATGGGCTTTCCATAGCGGCCTTCCTTGCATTAGTAAGGAATTCCTTTTCTCTTTCTTGTTTGCCAAAAGCTTTTTCTTTTACCATGCATGTTGAGTTTTGTCACGTTCTGTTCTGTATGAGTATGACCACCATGTAGCTTTTCTGCACCAGTTTACTGGAGAAAACACAACATGAAATGAAAATACAGAATGCTGATAACTTAATAGGGTTCTCTAAGGGAACTGAACAATAGAATGAGCATCTGAGAAAGGGGTTATTAGATCGGCTTGCACTGTTTGGTTCTGGGTAGTCCAGCAATGGCTGTCTTACACCAGAGATGCCAAGAACTTGGTAGCCGCTCAGTTCATGAGGCTGGGTGTCTCAGCAGTCCACACTGGAACTGTGGGCCTGGAGCATTCCTGGAGAGCCGTTATCTTACACAGAGCTTTTGATGGCTGATGCCGTCGTGTCTGGAGCAGGAGCCAGGGCATCAGTGCCAGTGCTGGGCTGAAGTGTCCCTCAAACTGGCTGGAGGAGTACCAATAGTTAGCTCTCCTGGAGGTGGTCCAGTGTTTTCTCAGGGACTGGTTGGCCAGAGCTTCCACTTGGGGCAACTAGATGTAGAAAAAGATCTAACAGTTGTTGTTCATGTGACTGATGGCTTGTCTGCCACAGTTCAAATTGTTCAAAGAGGGGAAAAGCACAAAAAGAAGCACATCAAGGTGTGTGTGTGTGTGTGCGTGCATGTATGTATGTGTGTGTGCATGCATATATGTGTGTATGCATGTATGTGTGTATGTATATGTGTGTGTGCATGTATATATGTGTGTATGCATGTATTGTGTGTATGTGTGTGCATGTATATATGTGTGTGCATGTATTGTGTGTATGTGTGTGCATGTATATATGTGTGTGCATGTATGTGTGTGCGTGCATGTATGTATATGTGTGTGCATGTATCATAGGTTGAACATGTAATTAACATTCTCAGAAAGTGCTTAACTCTGAACAGAGACCCTTAGTGAGGGCTGGATCTCCCTCTCTCAAGCCAACCAGTAACCCTCGTCCCACATCCTTACCCTCTGTGACCCGCCAGCCCCACTCTCACTCACTTGAAATATTTATGGTGGAGCAGGCATCAGTTGTCCAGTGTCTGCTGACAATGATGACATTTCTAAAGTGGACTCTTGCTGTCCCAGAGGCCCAGCCTGTTGCCACAGGGGGCACAAGTCAGTCAGCGGAAGATAGGGTTGGCAGCGAACAGATCTGCATGCAGTGCCCTGGCGAGTGGGGGTGCAGCATGGGCATTCTTGTCCTGAAGCAGCCTTGTGGCACATTTAGATGCAGTTCGTGCAGTGATGGTGACCATGGACTGGTGGACACCTCATCACCAGGGAAGGTTTGGGGCCAAATGATACTCAGGATCTTAATCCCCTGGCCACAGATGCTTCCCAGGTCTGCAAACCTCTGGGACGAAGACAGTCACTCCTTTAGGTTGTTCTTGTCAGGTGTGAGTATGGCAGTTCTCAAAGTATTTTTGTAGACAGTAATGAAAGAAAACACCCAGGACCGAGTGAGATTAATTACTGCCAGAGCAAGGCCTGGTGGCCTGGCTCAGCTTTAGAACCACGGCAGGCAGGTCTCTTTCATCCTACTCTGTGTGCTGCAGGCCGGCTCAGAGCAGGCCCAAACCCCCTCTACTTCCTGTACTTTAAAATATCATCTATGTAAGCCAGTGTTTCTCAACCTGTGACTCCTGATCACTTTAGGGTTTGAATGACCCTCTCATGGGGTTACCTAAAAGACCATCATAAAACACAGATATTTACATTACTATCCGTAACAGTAGCAAAATTATAGCTATGAAATAGTGGCGAAAATAATTTTATGTTTGGGCTCACCACAATGTGAGGAACTGTACTAAAGGGTCGCAGCATCAGGAAGGCTGAGAACCGCCGATGTAGGCCAAGAATTCAAGTTTTTCAGTCCAGTTTCCATGCAGATTTGTAAAGCAAAGCAGCCTGCCTCATGCTGCCTTTGGCTTCTCGGATATGACGTTTCTGTGTGGGCTCTTTGTCCTCCTGCGTTGGAGGGGTGTGTGATACTAGTGTTTGACCCACCAGGAAGCGGAGGCACGTGATCACACACTTGCGTGTTGCCCACCGTGCGCTGCAGCTGTGGTCTTTATCCATTCAGAGCCTCCTTGACTGACACTGCCGTGGTTTCACCGTGAGCAGTTAGAAAGGAAGCCACTTGTTGAAGGTCTCCACACAAGCAAGCGAAGGGACAGAGATTCGCACTGCCTCTCACTTTAGGATGTCCCCACTGGCATCTTTAACTCCATGATTTGGGGGCCCTGACTCACAGGACCATGCCAATTCAGAAGTGCACGTTTGACCAATTTTCAGTTATTTATTCTTACTGAAGCTTTAATTACACTGTCATGTCGGTGAGACTACCTGGAGACACAGTCTCACAGCAAACTTCCAGGTCTCTGTCTCTTACAGTCGTTCCTCCTGTTCCGCAATGTTCCCAGAGCCGTGGGTGCAGGAGTTGGCTACCTACACACGAGCTGACCAAGGACAACAATAGACATGCCAAAGTGGACAGGGGAAAGACCACGAGGCCTCAACCCTACACAAAGAACTACAGACAGCTAAGGGACGCTGAGTGTGGGAGAAACAGGAGTCCTCCCCAGGGAAGATCACACAAATTGCTTATCCACTACCAAGTGGTCAGCCCCGAGAGCATACACTAAAGGAACATTGTGCAGAGGGAACAGGTTATATTTAAGAATGTATATGTATCTATGTATGCGTATATGCAGGTAACAACTTCTAGTGAACAAAAAAGAGGTCATGACCTTGAAAGAGAGCAAGAAAAGGTTTGGAGGGAGGAGCAAGAAAAAGGAAATTATGGAATACTAATCTCAAAAATAAAAAATTAAAAAAAAAATCTTTGTGTATTACTTTATGTTGCTGCCATGGCAAAGACCTTAAGCCCAGTGCCTCCAGTGCTGTGAACACCATCCCAGTGTGTGGCAGGAGACGCCCAGTGCAGGGCTCAGTGGGCTTTTCCAGCTCCTGTGGCCCCATGCATGTGCTGGCTCCTGACTTCATAGCCTCGGTGCCCCCACTACTGCCCACCAGTGGCTCTCTCCATGTCTAAGGACCAGTTCGTGAGCTGGTTTTGGGCCAACCATACAATCAAGGCCTACCCTTGTTACTGTTATTGTTATGTATTTATTATTTATTTTGCAGGGCTGGGGATTAAATCCAGGGCCTTGCAAATGCTAATTAAATACCTTGCCACCGGGCTATCCACCCTCCCACCCCCCCTCACCCCCAGCCTGCAAGGTCTACCCAGAACTACTGTGCCTTCCTCTGTAAACAATGACAGGCTAAGGTCACCAGTCCTTTAAAAGCCACCACCCTGCCAACCAAGGTCACTGAATTCTTCAAGTAATGAATTCAAAAATATTATCTTGTGAAGATGAGAATTTAACTAATTCCCTTTGTTTCTTTCTGCAGAACTTGCCACCACTGACAGAATATGGCAACGCAGGGTGCTAAGACCTGATTTCCCCTTGCTTTTAAAGACTCAGTCTGTGGTGCTATTTTACAAAATGACTTTGTTTGCCATAGATTCGAAACTTCATATAAATTCGTAGCAGCTGGTTTCGACTCAATATTAAGTATCTAATCCGTGGGGTATTATAGGAAAAACTGTTTAATATTGTTGTTTTCGTTTCATGCAGATTTGGACTTAAAACCACCACGAAAGTCAATTGGAAGCAGTTTTTAACAGCGTTTTATGAGCGGCAGGGGTTGGAAGTCAGCAAGCCAACTCCCCAGAAAAAAAGAAGCAGGTATGTTTAAAACCAGTTTACAAACCGCAGTAGGCATTAGGTTGGAGAACATGTGGATTAGAGTCTTTCATTCATTCAATGACCAACTGCCTCCACTGACTAGTTGTCAAGTTTTACCTAGCTTTTTAGAGTCTATAAATCATTTTGCATTCACTTTTCTGGCTTTCAGTTTCCTTAAACAGTAGGGATGGCATTCTTGTTCCAGTTTCCAGAGGGAAAAGAGCCCGGGTAATACCAGTGGGGCCACATGCTCAGAGCTCGAAGGCTCCTCCAGTGCACACAGCACCTGCTCACCGGGGTCTCTCAACTCCAGCTGTGTCCCCGGGAGACGGTGTGCAAGCTAGCACTTGCTGTTTGTTTCATGGGTAGGGAAAGAACCTGTTTTCCTGGTGCTCTGCTAGCGATGTGGCCGTCCTGGGAGTTTCTTGCCTCGGGCAGCAGCGTTTGTTCCCTGCTAATGTCTGTTGTAACTTCTAACTGGAAGTTGTAGTGGCAACTCAGAAATGCAAAATAAAGGGCTAAGATGCCACTTTAGACTAGACTTTATCTCCAAGGAGTCTCTTGTTTAACTTCCGTGTGATCTTTATTGATTACCACGTTTGAGCTGTGAAGAAAATAGAGTATTTTGTTGTTTTATTTTTAACAAATATATAATTTTATCAGGTGCATTGAGAGTGTTCAGCCCTAGTGCAAAGGAAGATAGACTACAGAGTTAGTTCTCACTCTGCTTTCCTGGGGCCTGTCCCACCTGAGGACCCAGGGAAATTTAATGACCATCTGGATATCAGCTTTTCAGGGGTCCAGAGCCCTGCTCTACTGTGAGGAAGCAACTGTGTCTGAGGAGGCTCTGTAAGCATGTGTCTGAGGAGGGGCTGTGAGCATGTGTCTGAGGAGGCAGCTGTGAGCATGTGTCTGAGGAAGGGCTGTGAGCATGTGTCTTGAGCAATTACTTCCATTTTGCTACAGTTTTCTTGTCTGATAGTACCTTGTCTAAGGCTTTCCAGGATAAAATTAAGGTGTTATTTATTTGTGGCATTTTATTTAATTAGGGTCTCACTGTGTGGTCTAGGCTGACTTTGATCTTATCATCTTCCTGTGTAAGTTTACGGGTGTGTGCCACCATGTCCACCTGCTGGCTCTCATTAGCTTTGAAGCATCTGTCCTCCAGTGGGGACATAGTGCTCCGCAGGAGGCTCATGGCAATATCAAAGGACATTTTTGATTTTCGTGGTAGAGGTGACGATGTGTAGTGAAGTCTATTGTAGGGAGGCCAGAGGCGCAAGAGGTCTTCCCACAATGGAGAAAGGCCTGTCACTGTGCCTGATATCCATGACAATAGACAAGGGGGATTGCTTGCCCAGTATGTGCTTGTGCCAATATGGTTCTGACTTTCACAACACTCTCTTCTAGTTATCACAGGAGCCAGAGCACAGTTCTAAGATGGGGTAGCAGGTGTGCTGTCGCAGAGCTGACCAAACAGTATCAAATCCCTAGCAAGTGTAAAAGTGGTCCCATACAGGAGCCACTCACTGTCACGTCTTATATTGTGGGAATAGAAGAATTCTATTGAGTACTGAGGAAAGGGAGGCCCATGACCAAGTTTTATAACAAGGTATCTAGTTCTTCCATCACTGTAACAAAACACCATAACCGAGGTAACTTAACAGAAATAAAGCATTTATTTGGGGCTCATGGCTGCAGATGGTTAGAGTCCATGGCCATCATGGTGGGGAGCGTTGCAACAGGCAGGCAGGCAGGCATAGCGCTGGAGCCGGAGCTGAGAGCCCACATCTTTATCCACAGTAAGAGGCAGAGAGAACTAACTGGGAATGGCATGGAATTTTTTGAAACGTCAAAGCCCACAGGGGCACACCTCTTCCAACAAGGCTACACCTTCTAATCCTTCCCAAAAAGTTCAACCAGCTGGGGACCAAACACTCAAATATATGAGTCTGTGGAGGCCATCTCTATTCAGAGCACCACACAGGGGTCTGTGTCTCCCTTTCTGATGGGAATTTACAAGGAAGCCTTAGCTCCCAAAGTGGATGGCCATGGCCTCCAAGAGCACTGGTATGGTCGATGGAGCTTCATGGTCAGAGGTAAGAAAAGACAAGAAGTCTTGAGGGTGCAAGTGACCATGGGCACAGTCACTAGAGGACAGAGGCTGGGACTTCCCATGCCCTCAGCTGCAGGACCCATGTGCTGCAGCTTACTGCCTGCCCCATGGTCCTGGTGGCCAACAACCGCTGATTTCCTTCCTGGTCTTTTTGTGAGATCAAATTTGTGGGTTTGAAAGATGTCTGACTAGGGTTGCTCAGCATCAGGGGCAGCAGGAGGACAGGATGGCATAGCTAAGAGGTGGCTGTGCACATCTTCTCTAGGACAGTTCTCTGCCATATGTCTTCCACACCTAGTAGCAAACAGGCCTGCCTTGTACACGATCTTTTTTTGAAAAGCCTCTGCAAAGCCTGTACTGTAAGAATTAGTTAGAGCATTTGCTTTTTGCCAGAGCAAGTCCAAGGGTGCAATATCCTTCCTAGTTTTCTCCTTCTCCTCTTTGTAGCACTGACTCGAGAAACCAGTCTCGCAGGGAAAATGTCATCAAGAAGTTATTCAGGTACTCGGAGGAGCGCTATACAGCCCTGAAGAAGTCCTTGTTAATAATCAGCACGGTAAGAGCCTGAACCCTTCTCTGGAAAGATCCACAGGAGGTAGGAAAGTTCACACTCAGTGTGGCAGTCAGGAGGCTACATCGTGTTTGTCAGGACAGGGTAACCAAAGGGACCAAGTGGACAACCATGCAGAGACATTGGAGTTCTCATATGCTGCTGATGAGAATGAAAACTTGTTCAACTACTCTAAAGAACAGTAATTCCATACCTAGGTATCAGCCAAAAGAAACAAAAACACAGCCTCACAAAGATGCATGTATAAATATTTCAAGAGATGCTGTCTGTTATGTTCTAACTGGAAATGACCCAGACACAGATAAGTAGTCTATGACATGTCCATGTGACATGTTCTTAGAATACCAGTCAGGAGTAAAAAGGAAGGAGATGCTAGGAGTGAGAAGGAACACAGATGTTCAGGAGATTGGGGGTGATACAAATGCTCTGGTGTCCATGATGGTGGCCACGCAATGCTGGGCACATGTCAGAAGTTAGTAAGGAAGTTGTCAGTGATTCTGATTTGGATGTTTAAACACTAATTATTATTCAAAAACCAAGCCATAAACAGGCATATTTAGTCCGATTACCTCAGAGAACCTGTCTTCCATAGCCAGGGGATGTGAGTACAAACACTGGCTGTAAAAGCATGAGGACTTGAATTCAAATCCCCAGCACCCAGCAAAGGACCGGATATGGCTGTGCACCGTGTACCTGGTGCTGTTGAGAAGAAGGCAGGTGGACAGCTGGGGCTCTATGGCAGCCAGCCTTGCTCAGGGTTCAGAGAGACCCTATCTCAATAAAATAGAGTGACATCACACCAGTTAACCTCTTCTGGCCTTCACATATAACACGGGATATCTCCACTCACCTGTGTGCATACACCACACATACACATAGAAAATAATAATAAAAATAAGAATTTCAGGAGCTCAACACTTAAGAGCACTTGCTGCTCCTTCAGAGGACCTGGGTTCAGTTCCAGCACCTGACTTCCTCTGACTCCTCTTCTAAGACATCTGACACCCTCTTCTGGCCTCCAAGGGCACCAGGCACACATAGGTGCATGCATACACACACATATGCAGACACTCACACATCCACATATAAAAATAAAAGAGTAGGAACTCTGCTCTCCTAGCCTCTGGACCCACATTTATACCACCCTCTGGCAATCAGTGACAGCTGCTGACTGACACTCGAAATTCCCTCTCCGGGGTAGAGGCTCTATATTCCCACCTTCCCAGAAAACAGGGGCTCTTGATTTTCATATTTAGTTATCAACAGCATTCAGTTCCATGGAACATGCTTACCTCAGAAGGCTTCGCTTCTAGTATTTCTTTTATGCAATGTGGCAGAGATCTCTCCCTCAGCAGCTGCCCATCTGTGCAACCCATGAGGTTGGAGAAACTGGAAACATTGCTACTCAGATCAATTGGCAAGCTGCAGCGGAGCTCAGGGAGACTCTGAGCCAACAGGTGGGGCTAGGAGGAGGAGGGCTCTTCATGCTGTGGAGACCCTTGGGAAGGGGTTGGCCTGTGCCCCCCAAAAGACCTCATTCCTCCAGGCTATTTCCTGCCTTTTGCCTGGCAGAGGATCTCTTCTAGGAAAAGGCTTAAAAAGCCTCGGGGGCACCTACCTCTGCCCTGCTCTTATACACATCCACGGTGTATGTAGTGGCCATTGGCTGCTGTTTTAAGTCATAGATCAGCTTGGCCGAGCCGATGCTTTACTATTGCTGAGTATGTACGTGGCGTTTCCTGCCTTTTAATATTTTTTTTAAAAAAAATCTTGATATTATTTACACTCTCCTACTCAGACGCCCAGTGGACACATAGCTTGGGATGAACTGCGACACGTCCTAAACTGCATGGTTGCAAAGTTAAGTGATTTGGAATTCAATGAACTGAAGCAGACATTTGACCCCGAGGGCACTGGAGCAGTGAAGATCAGCTCCCTACTCGACGCGTTGGATGGTAGCCCCAAGGTAGGTCACCACGGTCTCTTGACTGGGTGACTCCCAAAGCCAGGAAGTCAGCATTCTTAGCAAAATGCAGTTTAAATGAATGAATGAATTCACATTTTTGCATGTTTTCATTTCAGGTTACAGTTAAGAGGTCATTTGGTTTAAGGTTTTGTTTTCTAAAGTATATCGAGGATGCTCTCTGGCATTTCTGAGAAACCTGTCCTGAAGCGACAGGTGCCCGGCAGCGCTGCACTTGCCGCCAGGTCTTACGAAGAGGCGTCTGGGGGTCACACCTGGTGGCAGCAGCACACACTTGTGGTCCCAGCTCTCAACAGGCTGAGGCAGAAGTGCTGCGAGTTCGGGGCTACCCTGTGTGAAGCGGAATGCCAGGCTAGCCAGGACTATATCATGAAATGTATCTGAAAATAATAAAACAGCTACAACAGAAGCATGCTTGGGAAGGGGTCCCATGCCCTGATCTGACACAGTTTTAGGGGTAGCCACCCTGTTCCCCTACTGTCTACCAGTAGCTTTCAGTCATTGCTGCTTTTGACTGAAAGACAGGCAGTTTTATTAAAAGTAGCTCTGCAGCAGCAGTTAACCTCGGCAGTCTTTAAGAACACTTGAACAAGTCAGTTTGCTGCATGCATGGCTGGTGTGGCCTTAGTGTCAGAACGTTGAGCTCTTTGCCTTCACCATGGAGGGAAATTGCTAGGCTGAGCACGGACCTTGACACACCTAAGTGTGAAAAACTTAAGTCAAAATGTATAGGCTTGTCCATGCCTTCACACACAAACACACACACACACACACACACACTTTTTAAGCATGAAAACTGTGGGAAATGATAGAGGAGTTAATGGTTCCTCAAGTAAGACCTTGGTTACATCCATCCCTAGCCGTATTGGTCAGGAGAAATTGGACTTTGAGGTGCTCAGGCAGTACCTCAAAGTATACCTTGACCCAGTTTACCACTGCTGCTTGAGAACAAGATCAAATGAGTTTTCAGGGCATGGAGGTCATCTGGGGTGGGAACCTGAGCCAGTGTTCAGTTTGCAGCCACCATCTCCATGAGCTACGTCTAGGGGCAGATATTGTACCTCTTGAAGACACACGTCTTTCACAACAGGATTAGTGACAACAGCAGCCTGTGGTGTTGCTGTGGAAACTTGGTAGGATAAAGTGTACACTCAGAAGTGTTCCACTTCTAAATATTCAGTCGCAGTTGTTTTGATGATTGCCTGAGTTTCTCTTGCACAAGCACTGCCCACACCCTGAGCCCCTGGTTCCTCCTAACTCTGCTTGCAGAGTGAGTGGTAGAGTTCTCAGTGCCTTTCCCAGCTCTGGTGTAGGACAGACCCTGGCTTAGCTCAGGTCTGTGGTGCTCAGGGCTTCTCACCCCTGGGCAGTGCAGCAACTGTGCACATTTTCAAACCGAGCCAAACTGAGACAGTAAGCAGCCTCTAATGCAGCAAGGGACATGATCTTTGCTCGGCATAACTGGAGCTGTGACACGTGCACACACACACAAATCTGCTGTATATATGTGCACATGTACAAACCTTCCATATATATGTGCACACATACTTAAACCTACCATGTATATCTGTACACACACTCAAACCTGTCATATGTATGTGTATACACACTCAAACATATCATATACATGTGCACACACTCAAACCTTGCAAATATATGTGCACATATGTAATCTTGTTGTATATATGTGCACACTCTCAAGCCTATAATATATATGTGCACACACACTCAAACCCGTTTGTTATATGTATAAGAACATACACTTCCAACCCTATGATTTGTATGTAGACACTTTCATTATCAAAACAGTTATATTTGAATATAAGTTATGCTTTTTAAAGTGGTACATCTACCACATGCATTTTTATGGGTTTGGATATATGCCTTTGTATATTGTACCTGACTTTACCTACAAATAAAGTCTGGTTAATGTGTTCAAGTCTGTCATCTTTCGTTAAGCCATCACTAGCATTTAACACAGTGGGGTTTGCTACTTAATTTTAAAGAATGCTGCATATTCTCCTTCATTATATGATCTTGGCATCCACTTTGTTTCCCCTTTTGGAAATTTTGCTCCAACCTGGACCAGCCAAGCAGAGCCAGCTTTCAAATCTAAGCCAGTAGCTTCCTGTTGCCCCTCAGGAAGCACTGGTACTCATAAGGTTTCTCTCGTTCACTTAGGTGAGAAAAATGTCCCCCTCTACAGAGACCAAGGCACCTCTGCCTGTGGCTTGGAATCCAGTAAGTACCATTGGCCTTCTGTTTGTGAATACCATCCCCATGTGCTCTGAGGGTGCCTGCAGACCAGCTTCCAATGCGGTAAGTGTATTTCTCTTCCTGTGTTAGGTAGAAGAAATGGTGCTTGATGCCATCACCAGGAACCTCCAGGCCTTTTACGGCATGCTGCAGTCATATGACCTTGGCGATACAGGGACCATAGCAAGAAATAACTTCAAGAAAGTCATAAACATATTCTGCCCATATCTCTCGAATGAGCACTTTGTAAAGTAAGTTCACAGGTCCTTCCCTTCCTTCTTCTTCCCAGCCTGCTGCATGACCCCTGTGGATAATATCGGTGGCAGACACTGTGTTGAGTCCTCACTGAGCAGCACGCTAAGAGTTTACCTTGTGTAATTGAATCTCACCACCACCATTAAGAAGCTGTGTAACCACTGTGAGGCTCCAGGGAGTCAGGGGACACAGGCTCCATCTGGGTCTGTAGGATTGCTGGCTATTCCTATTGCTTTCTATTTTTTAAAAAGATTTGTTTGTAAGTGTACACGTGTGTCTCTGTGTATATACATACATGTGCAAGCACAGCGCCTGTGGAAATCACAATCCTCCTGGATACCTGGCATCGGGCTTCTTCATTTTTAGCCTTGGGCTGAAGAGATGGCCCAGGGGTAAGGGTACAAACTGCTCTTACAGAGGACCCAGGAACAGTTCCCAGCACCCACATCAGGCCGCTCACAACCACACGTGACTCCTGCTCCAGGAGTTCCTCTGGCCTCCCTGGGCACGCACACTTAAGTGCACAGATACATGCATAAACACATCCACCAACACATAGTTTTTGAAAAAAAATCTTAATTTTAGCCTTTTTTTTTTTTTAAAAAAAAGGGCACATTCTGATGATTTTTTAACTTTAGACTCTACAGTAAGTTTCAAGACACAGCCTCAGGACGGATCCTGTACAAGAAACTTCTGTTGTCCATCGGTGTCAATATCCCACCGCCCATCCTTCCACTTTCTGTTCCGAAGGATCAGCTAAGCGAAAAGCTGCAATACGAGGAGCAGGGCCAGCCAGATCTTCCTGAGAGGTAAAATAAGAGCAAAGGAAAGGCACCCGGGTACCACGGTGCCTCGCTGGAGGAGGCGTTCCTTGGGCACACGCAGCTGCTCGGTGTCATCAGAGCTGTGAGCCATTAAGAAAGAACGGTGCACCGGGCGCACGTGGTGAGAGCGAGAGGCGCTCTTGTCAGCAATTGAACCCACCTGCAGATTTTAGAAATGAAAGTGGGATAAACCCAGAGCTGGGGCACTTGCCGGGGTTGTTCTGGTGTCGACAGTCTAGACTCTCACCTCCCAGACAACTTGACTGCTCTGCCCCTGCGGGCATCCACGCCTCCTCTCTCACGGGAGTTAGAATCTTGGCCATAGCTTATTGTTTCTTGTAAAACACACCCATTAACACAGCTGACGTCTCCTAATGTGAACAGGTGGAGCTGTTAAAACGATAGCCAGATTGAACTGTCTGAACGGTCAACCAAAACACACTCGGTGAGCTGCAAAAAAAAAGATATTCTGGCTTTCACTTCCTCTGGAAAAGTATTGGTTTATACTAAGGGAAAGATGCCGTCTTAACTGCATGTTGGTAGCCTGTCGTGAGCCTGCAGGAATGGCAACACCTAGGAGTCACCATCTTGTCATTTCTCTTTCTCAAGGCTCTTGAGCATGCGATGATGGGAATGTCTTCTAAGAGAAAGCTCAACTATCTGGCGACATGTCTCCCCAAAGCCGGGAGAAGCAACAGTGGCCGTTAAGCTGCTCACAAAGCAGCTTTTCCTAGAGGGAAGGCTGGAACTCTGCTCTGCATAGCTGCCCCACCGGTGTCCTGTTATTCCGCAGGGCCTAGGAGACCGTGGAGGGCCGGGAAAGAATTAGCTTCCAGCTGCCCACCCTCTCATAATACATTTTGTGAATTGATTCTACAGAGAAACTCAGGATAACCATGACTTCTCTGCTCTACCACAGATGGCCCGTGACTTCATTCACCTAGTTACTACCAAATGCTTTAACTTGACATTTCCCTGTAGGCCCTGACTTGGTTTCCCTGTTTTAATGGAAGCATTTTGTTTTTAATCTTCATGCAGCAGTCCACTGGAGAAGTGGAGTCATGGCTGCAGGAGCGTACAGCAGCTGGTCACGCTGTATCTGCAGTCTGGAAGCAGAGAAAGGTGGATGCCGGTGTTGGCTTGCTTTCTCCTCTCGGTGCAGTCAGAGCCCCAGCCCAGAGCACGGTGCTGCCCACTTTTAGCGTGGGTCTTCCCTTCTCATTTACCTTAAGTCAACAAAATCCTTTCACTGGCATCTGAGAGTCCCTCCCAGGTGGTCCTGGTAGCTCTGGGCAGTTCCAGATCCTGCACAGCTGACACCACTAACCGTCACGTGTGCCTGGCCGTGTGCTATTTCCACCCAGCTCCGAGTTGAGAGTCTTAGTGTGAAGACAGTCCTGGCCGGCCTTGCTGGCGTCGTCATGCCCTGGCAGCGGGGCCCTCTGCACGGATACTGTGCTGCTGACCTGCAGTCCCGGCTCTGCAGGCCACAAGCCCAGAAAGGAAGCCCTGCTCTCTGATTGGGGTTAGAACTTTGATGGGGGTTATAAACCTCCTAACTATTGTGGGATACACGGTGTACAGGGAAGCCATGTCAGCTGGTGGAGAGCTCATTGCCTACTGGTGATTTCAGAACCCAGCCCAGGAGGGACAAAACCACGGAGGCCAAGAACATGACCAAGGAAGAAGTCATCGACAGACTCAAGCACTGTATCCAGCAGCAGGACCCCGTGTTCAAAGAGCAGTTTCTTAGCATCAGCAAGGAACCTGAAGTGAAGATCGGCCTGGAGGACTTCCGGAAGGTAGGAACCCATGCCGTGTAGGGGGCTTCCTTCCTGACTGGGTTCATGTGTTCCACCCCACTGCCACACGCACTTCATTCATTGTTGCTGCTTGTTTGTTTTGCTGTGGGGAAGAAGACTAGCAGGCAGTAAAAGAATTGAGGTAGGGTGCTCATGGAACCAGCAGGTTTGTGCTGGAAGCGTCTCAGCTTGAGGGCCCTGCCTGGGCTTCAGGAGTTCATTTACACTATTGATTAAGATTCCTACAGTGAGTGCTCCAGCCAGGAGCACTTTGGCTGTTCCTCGGGAAGACATCTCGGTTAAGTGGCCGCGTGGACAGGCTAGAAAGCAATGGAACCAATTTCCAAGAAGTCAATACTCTCTTGAGTGCTTGCTCTTTCCCTGGTGTCTACCTCCAGGCCAGGCGTCATAAACAGAGGCCCAGATTGAGGGTTCATCTTGGTGTCTTCACCCTGTGTTCCCGTTTAGAGCAGTTGCAGATAAAAGCTTTGAAAACTATGTTGTTGTCTTAGCTAGGGTTTCTGTTGCTGTGATGAAACGCCATGACCAAAGCAAAGATTTTATTTGGCTTACCCTTACACCATGGGCTGGGCCTTCTCCCACTAGTCACTAATTAAGAAAATGCCTTTACGCTGGATCTTATGGACGCCTTTTCTCAGCTGAGGTTCCCCCTTCAGATGACGCTAGCTCATAGGGAGTTGTCATAACACTATCCACTGTCAGCCCAGAAGGTACTCTGGATGTCCTCTGGGTGCCTGGCCAGATTCAGCACGTAGAGCAAAAATTTCCCCATGTGGGCTCAGGAAACGCCCTGGGGAGCAGCTGAAGCCTCCATGATGGTGAAGGAGATGGTGGGTGAAGGTGGGCGTGTAGGCTTAGCTCAGTGACTGGACTTCCTGTTCCCCAAAACTTCCAGATGTCCAGGATGCCTTAATGGGGCCACAGCTTTGTTTGGGGCTCTTCACACCTCATTTCGTTGGCCTAAGTCCCCCAAGACCCTTGGAAATCTGGACTATTTCTCTGTGTTCCAGCCCCAGCCTTGGCCTAAGAGCAGGTGGATTCTCAGGGAAGGTAGCCATATCCAAACAGGTACAGCAGCAGCTCACTGACCACTGACCCTTATATAGGGCCAGCTGGCAGGAGGCTCAGTTTCCTAAGGATTGGGCTCCATGGGTTTTCAGAAATTCTGTACCTTTACCAAGATCTGCTCGTTCTACAGACGATGAGAGAAGTGTGACGTCTGTCTGGTGTCTGTGGGTTTGTTTACTGGGTTCTTTTATGTTCTGTTAATGTTGTGTGATTCACCCCGAGGCTGTTAGTGAGATAGATTTCAAAACACAGAGATCCCTGTGTGTCTGTGTGACTCTGGGTACAGAGGGATGCTGCATGGCCTCACGGCCGCCTTCTCTCTGATTTGTTTTGATGACTCTTAGGCTGGTGCTGTCTTTCCCCACCTGTGACTTTCAAACTCACCGGGCACTTACGAGCAAGCCTCTCATGAGCACATTAACTTACTCATCATGAAGTGTGGCTGAGCATCTTACCATTTTCTCTAACCTGGACATCACATGGTTCCTTTTCTGTCTGTCCTTGCCATTAGGTTATTCAACTGCTTCCGTGGTTAAGTGTTCTCAGGTATCCCATTATGAGATGACTCTTTTTCATTCCAGTTGTAAAGCCTATGCTAGAGACTGCAGCTCACTGCTTGCACCCCCATAGAAGTGCAGGGAGCCTTAGTACTGTGAACCAAACTCCTGGAAAGAAGCTGTGTCTGCAGAGACTGGCTGGCTGATTAGAATTCCAGCACCACGGAGAGACTGGAATGGTGTGGATCCGGAGGCTAACGACCTTATCTTGGGCTAGTTCTAGCCTCCTGGCACATCCATTCCTTGCCCACCTCTGTGTGGAACTAATATCTCATGACAAATAGATTAAAACCTGTGGAAACAATTGACTCAGCAGATGACCAGCTTCTACCAAAAGCTAAGAGTCACGAGTCATCTTGAGCAAATAGAACGGCTCCCCACATCTCGTTGCACCCGCCTCTCTGGTGTACCCATCAATGTATTTTAAAGTTGCCTGGATTTATGACTTTCTTTGTTCTGTAAAACTATAGAAACTTCATGAAACTGCCTCCCCATAGGAACATGAATTTGGGGTGACCTAAGTCAGTGTTCCCAGGTCATGGTCACTCAGAATGGCTCCAGAATAAACTCTTATTCCTTTAAGATAAGAACTATGGGTTTTGTGTCAATGGCACTTTATCATCTCCTTTGTGGTACTGTTTGCCACATGCTTCAGTTTTAAATATAATCGAAAATTCCATGAGACATTTCTTTCATGCTGAAATTAACCTGACCTAGCAACCTGACCTTACATATTTGTGTCTGTGTGTCTGTCACGATATCCTCCTCTTCTCCCTCCTCCTCCTCTTCCTCTTTGCTTGAAACTGGACTCATTTTTTTTCATCCTGCCTAAAGTTCTCCCTTTTACATCATATAGTGAGCATGCACTGGTCACTCGTTCAGAGTTTCTTAGTTCTCTACTTAAGGTCCTTCATCCAGACTGCACCCTAAACTTAGCTACCCCCCCACCAAGGCTCCTCTGAGCTGTGATAATTGTCCAGGTTTTCCTTACCTTATTATTATTATTTCCATTGCTTTTTAGGACCATGACTAATTTTTGAGGATTCCTTCCTGATCAGGATTAATTTTAAATAAATAGTTGTGTGTGTATGCATGTGCATGTGCCTGAGTGTGTGTGTGCATGCGCGCACATTGCAGTTTTGGTGGAAGGCCTAAGTTTGTGAATTTAAGAAACTCGGAAGATCCAGATTAGGATAAATACAAAACCAGAGACAAGATGCTAAAAACCCAGATCAGCGAGCAGGAGAGCAGTGTAAGCCATGTTCCAAGCGGCCACCCAACTATCAGCAGGGATGGCAGAGCTGGAGGACTTGGTGAGAGTGGGCACAAAGTCAGAGCCACGTCAGCTTGGAACTTTGTGTCCAGTCTCCCTTGAAGAGTGGAGACAAATGGATGTCTTCAGCCTAGTGGGGCAAAACAAAAGGAAGGCAAGCCTAAGGTAGCTCACTGCAGGTCCATCTTCAGTACCTGCCATCCTGCAGGAAGTTCCCAGACTCAAGGAATGAGATGATGTGAAGACTCAGATGCCCGCTGTGAGGGATAAAGAGCAGGAGAAGTGTCAACAGGAGATGCCCATGGTTAAATCATTTGCCATGCAGGCATGAGCACTGGAATTCGCATGCCCAGATCTCACCAGAATGCTGTGGGGGCACGGCCACCTGTGATTTCTGCCTTGGCAGAGGCAGATTGATCTCTGTGAGCTCAAGGCCAGCATCATCTACAGAGCAAGTTCCAAGGCAGCCAAGACTATACACAGAAATCTTGTTTTGAGGGGTGAGGGTGGAGAGATGGCTCAGAGGTTAAAAGCACTGATTGCTCATCCAGAGGTACTGAGTTCAATTCCCAGCAACCACATGGTGACTTGCAACCATCTGTAATGAGGTCTGGTGCCCTCTTCTGGCCTGCAGGGACACATGGAGGCAGAACACTGCATTTATAATTGTTGTGCCCAGATTATGACCCCCAGAAAGAGACCACCAGAGAGGCCCAGACTGTAATAAGCAAGGTTTAATCAGCATGTAACAAACATGTTTGGAACCCCTGTCTACTAACCCCGTTATAGTGAGGTAGAGAGAGGAGTTGTATCTCCTCTGTGGGGTAGGCTTTTAAAGGCATAACTAACTACAAAGAGGCTTTTTGAAGCTGCTTTGGCATGGGTGCAAGAATTTTTGCTCCCTCCCATTCTGCTAAGTCAGCTTTTTCCTTGTTCTTAGAGCCTGTTCCTGAGTTAGGCCATCTTTATCGGCCTGTACCAGGTAGCTAGCTGGGCTGAGCTGAGTGACCTTGTGCTCAAAACTTCCCGGGCGGGAGAGGGGAAGGCCACTATATTCCTGGGAAAACATTCTGCTAGGAAATTTTTTCCCACCCCTTTGAGAATAAGGGGTGAGGGTCCTACAATAATAAATAAATATATCTTTAAAAGAAATAAAAGGAATTGAGGATACTTCCCAGTACCAGCCTCACACTCGGCATGTGCCCACACACGTGCACACTGCACACACTCATGGAACTGGAGAGCCGGTGATTAAATGTGAAAGACTACTTTTAATTCACGGAATACACAGGAGTGTGTGAGATTAAAAACTACAGCCTTGCCTTGGAAAGTTTACTATATGTGAAAATAGAAACAAACGACTGCATAGCAGAAAGGCCAGCAGGGGCGCCAAAGGCTTCCAGGATTCTGTCTTGGGGGAGGGGCGATGTGAGCGAGGTTCTCTAGCTCAACAGTTCTCAACCTTCCTTACGCTGCAACCCATTAATTTAGTCCTTCACGTTATGGTGACCCCAACCATAAAATTATTTTCACTGCTACTTCATAACTGTAATTTTGCTACTGTTATGAATCATAATGTAAATATCTGTGTTTTTGATGATCTTAGGCGACCCCTGTCATTTTGTCATTTAGGGTCATTTGATCCTAAAGGGGTCGTGACCCCTAGGCTGAGAACAGCTGCTCTAGATGGACTGTGCAGTGTTGTAACCCCAAGGGAAAACACTGAGAATGTGATACAAAGGTGAAGCAAGCATGCCACATATGCAGATGTGTCCATTCTGTCCCAAGCAGAAAGGCCTGGGTCCCCTTGGCCATTGTCATTGGGCACCTGCCACTCAGAGCACCAAAAGCCCTGCAAAACTTCAATAAGTTATCAGGGCCCCAAGGAAGGCTTTCTTTGCAATGAAGTCTGTCCCAGGCAGAGTCAATAGAGGTGATCTTTTGAAACATTACTATTGTCAGACAGGGGATGGCAAGATAGCCCAGTTGGTAAAGCCACTTGTGTTGCAAACACGAGGGCCTGAGTTTGATTCCTAGAACCCATGAGAAAAAAAACATGGTGGCACTCTTAGAATCCCAGTGTTGGTGAGGTAGATATACGTAAATCCCCAGGACTCACTGGCTAGCCAGTCAACCCTACCTGATTAACAAAACTAAAAGCATGTACACATACACATGCACACACATACACACACATGCATGCATGCACACACACACGCATGCATGCAGATGCGACCAAGGAGAGAAGCAAGAGATTCAATACCAGTTTGTCATTCTTCAGTGAGTTTTCAGGAGCATGTCTCCCAGAGAAGCCAGGGTTTAGCTGGATAAATTTCAGTCTGTTCTCCAGGCTGTGGCTAAGGCCCACTGCCTGTGAGTTGCTGGCAGGCATTAAGGATAAGTCTTCTGGATTGGCTGCTGTGCTCATTGAGACAGGTGCGAGGGTACCTTGGGAGCGTTCAGCGTTTCTCTGAAAAGCATGCCAGCGAGGGCATGCTTGCTCCGTGGTGCTCCGCGGCCCTGGGGAGTGGCCCACCCAGCCCAATGGACAGGCTGCGTGAGGCTCCTCAGTTCTTCACAACCCTCCAGGCTGGGAAACATTTGCCTGCAGACATTTTCTTCCTCTCCGCTGCATATGTTTTGGTGAAAGGACTAAGTGGGAGGACTTGGCGATGAATAATTCATGTGTGATTGTTTTCAAAATAGGAAGTTTTTTCAAAGTGAGTAACCCATCTATTCATTCCTGAGACCCATTGCCTCTGGGTGCTTCTGTGTGGGCCTCAGCTTTCTATCTAAACAGTTGTCGCACCCCATGCTGCAGGGCCTGGGAACACAGGCGAAGGATGGCGCAGATGGTGTGGGATTCCCAGTCAAAGGGTGGCCTTGGAATTGAGCGTCTCTCCTCAGTAACTGCACACCCCCTAGTTCTGCAGTCAGCACACTGTGGTCTGTTCACTGCACACACATGCACACACACACAACCGAGACTAGGCCCCACAAACCAAGAAGGATATATCAGCCATTTTCCCTGTGTTCACCTCCAGCTCCCTGCATCCTCTTCCCACACACCTGAAAGGATGGACGAGTCCTGGATAAAGTGTGGCCTGTTCTGTGGGCGGAGCAACTTCTAGACTGTTCAAGTCATTCAAAGTCTGCCGCCGAGTGGGGAGGAAGTGCCTGGAAATTCTACACTGTGCCCAGTCAGGGAGGGAGGAAAAATGCTTTTTGAAGCCTCCAGGGAAGATGGGGGCACGTGAGAAAGGACCTTTTTATACCCCTAGTGGCCTCCTGCACCCACCCATTTGGTGGGGTCACAAGATATTGCCAAGACTTCAGTTACCCTTCCCTGTGTGGCCAGTTAGGATTGGTGTAAGGACCCCCGAATTCCACAGCAGGCAGCTCCCTCCTCCCCTGGGAAGAGTCCACTTTTCACTCCCCATTGTTCTCCCCCTGGTTTTCTTATTCCAACAGGATGAGGAGGTTTGTGAGCAGAACCAGGTTTGAGCCCCAGCCTTACCACTCCCAGGTCAGGTGACCAGGGCAAGTCAGTAGCCTCTGTTTCCAGATCTTTGTAGGAGGATTCTGAGAGGTCCTTTCTATGAGCCTCTGATGGGGCGAAATGGAGGGCTCAGCACAGCGCATGGCTTGCAGTTAGTGAGGGTGGTCGATGGGATCCTGTCCTGCCTTAGGCCTGTCCTCTAGACTTTCTGCTCTGGGCTGTGTGTAACACCAGAACCATCTGGCAGTGTCGACTTACTCCACGTCTCCCCCATGCAGTGTGATCCTCAGAACAGGAGGGCACCAGTGCCAGGCTCCCAAGATAAGTCTTTTCAATGCCAAGGCTCAATCCAAGCTAAGGGAGCCGTGGAAGCAGGCTCAGTGGGCCATATAGGAACATTCACATGATATTCCATAGAGCCTGGAAGCTAGTGTCCCCTAGAGTACCCACCGCCTCCTGATGTCCCATGCCAGCTGCTCCTGAGAAAGCAAGGCCCCTACTAACACAGCTGGCTACGCTGATGGCTGTGTCATGGCACCTGACCTACGAACTCTTTCCCTGTACTGACCAGTGTAGGGTACCATGGAGAGGTCAACACAGACTGTATTGTGCCCAGCTGGAGCCCCTGGACCTTCCTGAGATTAATTCCTTCCTCCCTCCCTCCTTCCTTCTTTCCTTTCTTTTTTTTTTAAATTTTAATTTTAATTTTTTTTATTTTTCAAGATAGGGTTTTTCTGTGTAGCTTTAGGACTCTTTAGAACTTTAGAACTGTCCTGGAACTCTCTCTGTAGACCAGGCTGGGCCCAAACTCACAGAGATCTGCCTGCCTTTGCCTCCCGAGTTCTGGGATTAAAGGTGTATGCTGCCACTGCCAGGCTTCTGGGAATGGATTTGAATAAACATGCCACCAGGGATGGCTTCCCCGGGCTAGTCCATCCATTATCCCACTAACCTGCTGTGCAGACACACCACCTCTTCCTACAGCCTTGCACACTCAGCCCCCCACAAGCTGTCTCTGTGCCCAGTGAGTTCAGCCATCCTGCTAGCTGCCCAGCCAGTCCTGTTCTGAGCCTGGAAACTGCAGCCGTTGGGAAGGTCTCCACTCTCAGACCGTGAATGCTGGGTGAACAGAAAGAGCTGTGTCTTCTGTCTCCTGCACTAACCCCTAAAACCCCTATGTGGGAGGATTGTCCCTGTCTACCTACTGACCCATCGTCTTACCCACAGCAGCTCAGCCAGTCAGTGTCCCCTAGGGAGGTGGCTTTGGGACAGCTCTGCCCCAGTGCTTGCTACACAAGGGACATGTGTTTGCTCATTTGTTCCCCACACCATATACACAACGGAATAGGACGGGGTGTGTGTTGGAGTGAAGGGTCCAGAAACCGCCTTTCGTGAGTGGACTCACACGAGAGAGGCAAAATGGAGCCTGCGGGTGCCCTCCCATCAGAGAGCCACACAGCTCCCTTCTGTGGATCTTGATGGAACTTGAGGGACAATCTTATCTTCCCTCCCGAAACTGCCTTTATTGCACCTTGGACTCCTGGAAAATATGCAAACAAAAAGCTAGCTTACAGGACCCAGAAGCCACTTGAGAGACAAGAGAGAGCTGGGCACCTTGCCTGGCAGGGCATTGGCAAAGAGCAGCTGAGCTGGCTGTCTGGGTGTCATACTGCCTGTGCCCTTTGTTTACTCACAAGCCCCACAAGCAGGCCTTTGCCCACCCTCGGCAGCCATGGGTGGGGTAAGAGGACAAGTAATAATGACCACTGGCGCCTGTGGAGGAGCAGGGGAATGTGGGTCAGACACACTAATGCCTCCTGTTCTCCTCCCTGCTAGGTCCTGGAGGAAAGCGGAATGCCTATGGATGACAACCAATATGCAATGCTGGCCTCCAAGATAGGCTACAAGAAGGAAGGCATGAGCTACCAGGACTTCACCTCGGGATTTGAAGGTAGCTAGCCGGCAGGTGCTCGTGTGTCTTGCTGTGGTGGGGCCAGATGGCACCAAGCTCTTTCCTGGCAGTGTTGTGCCACTGACCATGCTGACCATGGGACAGCAACCTAGGCTAAGAGGCGGAAGCCTTCTCGGCCTAACCTTATCTGTGTTTCAGTCATTTCACCAAGTTAGAACTTTAGGAGCAGACTACAAGCTTAGGTGGTCCTGAGAGTGCTTCCCCAGACTCTCCTCACCAAATTTAAGACTTTAAGACTCCATAAAAAGATGCTATCTGGGGGCTGGGAATGTAGCTCAAAAGTATTCTGGCCTGGCATTCACAAGTCTTGGTTTCAAACCAACAATGCTGAGGAAAATAAACGCACACCATAAAATCAAAAGATGGTTATATGTAATTCGCAATGCCACCCACAGCTGAGTGTTGTTCCTCCCTCTTCACAGGTGGGGTACAGACATTCCAGAATTGGTTACATACCCAAGACCACCTAGGCATGTCCTGCCCCAACCCTAACGGCCCGTAAAAAGTTGGGAACCAGATTTTGTGTCATGAGATAAGGCAGAGCTGAGTCACCTCCTCGGCCACCTGTGTCTCCTGCTCCTTGGCAGTTGAGGGCAGATGGTATAGTCTTAAGAGAGCAAGGAAAGCTGGACCTCTGACTCTTTAAGGTCCCAGGACTGTCACCTTCCTGCCTCCAGTTGCCTACCACAGCTACTAAGTTCGTGTGTGGTTCATGTTCCTGTGGAGGCGTGTACTTCTCATTGCCACGGAAAATCTATGGGGTGGCTGACTGGGCAGCTCTAGTGACCCTGGGCACTCTCTTCCCCTGACACTGGCTTTGAGGGGTGACATCATTGCCTTGGAGAGCACGCCCCAGGCAGCATCCCTACTTATACAACAAGAGAATCCTACTCCTGGTAGGGTGGGGCGGGGGAAGGTACTAGGTAGCAGGGACAGTAGGAACAGCTTAAAATGCTCTCACCTTCTGTCTGACTTGACGTTCAGGAAGGGAAAGTCATGTGCTAGTGACCTTAGGAAGGCACACACATGTGCATGTATATGTTTGTGTATGTGTATATTTGTGTGTGTCTGTGTGTGTGTACGTGCACGCATATGTGTGTGTCAGAGGTAGTCACTGTGGAGGGATCAGATCAGGTCATCTGCCGAAAAATAGCAAGCCCCTACTATGAGGTGGAGAAGTTAGGGAGCCCTAACCCCACCCTGCAACCTCCCAAAGACCCCACATGTTACTGCAGCCATGCAGAATGTGTAGTAGGTTGGCCTCTCCTGGTGGGCATGGGATGAGTGAGGAGGCTGCAATTGGCCATCAGGCTCCAGAAGTTCTAGCCATACAATCCAGAGTGCTGCCTGGAGCAGCCAGGGACCCTGTGAGCCCCATCGCTAGCACACCATACACTTCCTTGCGCTGAAAGGGGGCGTGAATATCTAGTTCTTCATGTAGTTGGAAGGCTCTAACTCTGGAACCCCTCCCCCATGTTGCTCTGTCATCCTTGTGGGATACGCAAGGAGGCCTCTTTGCAAGGGGCATGTTCATGGTGATGAGGTCAGCTCAGAACCTGAGCACCCACACAGTGCCACTCCACCACTACCAAACAAGTGCCACGTGCTCACCATATGCCGTTAGCTCTGCTAAGTGCTCCCTGTGCAGAATCCCCTATGGCCCAAGACTGTGAACTCTGTGAAGTTGCCCTGGCGTGATGTCATTAATGATGTCCCCTGGCAAGGATACAGTGGTAAGGAAAGCCTGCTGAATTAATGAGCAGGGGCCTAATTTCATGTCCTGTCTTTAGGACATGAGTCTAGAGAGAGGGGGGAAAAAGAGGCAGAAGTCCTCCTCTGGCCCTGGGAATCAGGAGCTACACCAAGGAAGGACAGAATCATGGGACAGGTTACACACTAAGGTCACTTCCTTTGAGATAAGAGCCTTTCTGAGACATGTTGGGGGTAAAGAAGGTCGTCCTGCCAATAGCAGTGCTCTGCTGGGGCCAGGGGACGCCGTGCCACGAGGGGTCTTACTCAACCAGGGAAGCATACACGGGGTGGGCGCAGAGCTCATGGCCGTCCCCCACTTGATATCCTTTCAGACACTAAGCCGAGTGGACAGGAAACTAATCCACTGCAGCCACGCGCTGCCTCGAAAACAAACTTGGATGAACACTTCATGCCGGCTGAAGAATGCCAGAGACTCTTCCCAAAGAAGCTGAAGGAGTCGTTCCGGGTAACTTGTGATCCTCTATTTCATAGTTTCTGTAAGGCTCCGCCCTGCTCACACCCCACCCTGGTGGCTCCAGGAGACACACAGGGGCTGGCTCGGGTGGGGTCGGCAGCCTAACTGTGAGGCCCCACTCTGCTGAAATGCCCAGTCAGCACTGATGGTAGAAATCAGGAGCCCCTCTTCTCAGGGGGCGTGGCCACACATGGGACAGTGGACTCAGGGTCCTTTACACACCCATTTGCACTTATTCACTCACCAAACAAATGTTGCATGCTCACTGCATGCCGGAGTCTGTACCACATGTGTGAGTACCCTGGAGTCTTCTCTTGCCCAAGACACAGACAGTAAGTGACACTCATAGGCACTGTGACTGGCTGCTGAGGGGATCTTAGTAGAGTACCGTGGGACAGCAAGGCAGAACCCTTTAAGGAGGACCACCCAGAGGAGGAAGGGGCCCCTGCCCCAACTCTGAAGCCCAAATCAAATGCTCGATCGTCAACCTGAACTTGACCTTCAACCTGATCACCTGGCTGGCAAGGACAGCGAACCAGCATACCAGTGGCTGTGTCTCTGCAGGTCCAGGCTTCTGCTCCTTCGTCCCATTCCTTTATACAATGAGCAGAAAGAAGCAGACCCACAGGAAGATGGCATGTTACCTTTCCACACTCCGTTTTCCACTTCATGGTCTGCATCTAACCACGTGGCTCTGGTCAGTCACCCACTTCACTCCGGTTCTGCTCTGGCATGACCCCCATCTTGTTTGCATTTTCTGTTCCCTTCCTGGGCAACCTGTCCTCTCTGTTGGGACAACTTTGGCCACCTCATCTTCCTTCCTGTTGTCCTTAAGCCCTGACATGAGCCCCGCAGATCAGTTGGCCCTCAGGGCACCCAGTCTGCATGCCGTTGTAAGCAGCTTGGTCCAGAATCCCCAGCATCCCTTCACCACTCACCACAGTACCCCAAGTGACTGCCAGCTGCTTGCAGCACAGCGTGAGCAGTGCTTCGTTGGTGAACATGTGAGGCTTCACATGGTGTGCCGGGTTTGAACACATGTATTTATCTTCATTGAGGAAGCTGATGGTCAGAGATGGAGAGAAACTTACCCAAAGTCCAACATCTATTGAAAGTAATAGCTAGGAAGTAGAGTGTATCTGTTCAGATGCAAGGCCTGTGTGTTGATACTTGGGGTTGTCACACTGTAGTGGGGGCACTGATGAGATGAGGAGTGACAGAAGTTTGTAAACTTGTGGGAATTACAGGCACCAGGTCCTCAGTTGTGCCAGTAGCACAGCACTGAAGGCTGGCGGGACACTGGTCTCACTCTCGGCTGCTGTGCTGTGTGTCACATTGGAGTGCTATCACCTGCTTCCTGTCTTTCCTCTCCAGCACTGTGAGAGGACCATATGTCAAGGGCTGTGTTTCTGCTGCACCCAGTGGAGAGTTAGCACCTGACAGGTACCCAGAGCATACTCTTAGCCTCATTTATCCAACAAGCTTTATCACATATGGCTGTGGGACATTGCTCTGGGAACTGGCGCTCGAGCCAGACAGACAGGAGCGCAAGTCTTGTGCTTGTGAGTCAACCTGCAGGCAGAGGCAAGGAGCGAGACAGACAAGCTTTGCAGACACTGTGGCTGTGGAGGAAGGGCTCACTGACATGGCCCGAGGCAGCCTTGGGCATCTGAGAGCAGCAGGGGGAAGGTGGTAGAAAAGGATGGAGTTCATACGTTGGGCTGTCTATAGGGAGACACGGAGCATGGAATGGGCAGCATGAATGGCCAGGGCACAGGGATAACCTGATGTAGATGACACGGTAGCCAGGATTCTGTTAGATTCTTGAGGGATCCGGGCTTTAGATGGGATTGAGGCAGTTAGGCATGAAGGACAGTTTCCAGGTACAGGGAACAAGTGGGATGTGTGACACATTCTAGAGCCATGAAAGGGAGGACTTGGGACTCTGAGGATGTGGTCAGAGCAGTTAATCAGAACAAGCTACTGTCTGCCGAGGCGAGAAGCCTGTGAGGATTAGCAAGAAGTTTGCCTTTGGCCTTGTTCATTCTGGACATCTTAGCATCTCGAGTATGAGAAACTCAGAGCCAGACTTAGAGAGAAGCAATGAACCATGGGTCTGCAGCCTCACTGAGAATTTCACCCAGGGCCCCCTCTCCTCTGGATGGCAGTGACTCTGAGGCAGAGCCAGAGGCATCTAAACAATCCCCACAGTGTTCAGCACAGTGATTGCACATAGTAATGTTTGGTGAGTGAATCAGTGAGCAAACTCAGCTAGAACTTCCCACAAAATCCCAGAGCATCTAATTAGACACTAACATGGAACAAGCCAACTCAATGTTCTGAACAACTCCTACTGGGGAGCTGTAGAACGAGGGGATCTGGGTGGTGCCTCTAGGACACCAGACAGGTTCCCAGGGAAGAGCTGTGTGAGGGACCCACAGACACAAGGGTACTAAAACTATGTCAGCAGCGTTGCAAGCCAGAGTACAATGTACATTGTGGCCATAAGGTGGGTGTTGTCCTAGAAAGAGACTCACAATTTCTGTCTGATTTTAGGCAACAAACATAGTGACAAACAGAATTTTAGGACACTCACAAAACATGCCAAGTGGCCTCTACAGTGTGGCACATTCTTGTTGGCAGAAGGCTACTCGTTCATTTCCTGGCCGCCCAGACCTGAAATAACCACACAGAAACTATATTAATTAAATCACTGTTTAGCCTATTAGCTCTTGCTTCTTATTGACTAGCTCTTACATCTTAACCCATTTCTATTAATCTGTATTGCCATGTGACTGTGCCTTACCGGCAAGGTTCCAGTGTGTCTGTCTCCTGTAGGCGACCCACTTGCTTTCTTCCAGCATTCAGTTTAATTTTCCCATCTAACTCTATTCTGTGCTATCATGGGCCAAAGAGCTTCTTTATTCATTAACCAATAAAAGCAACACATATACAGAAAGACTTCCCACACCACATTCCTTAGCAATTTTATAGATGCTCAAGGTCATATGCCTGGCCCAAAGTGACACTGGCACCAAGAGAGTGTGACAAGTCTGCTGTGGGAGATGCCAGCACTTAAGTTCCCAGTGACCCTTGAACTTGTTTCTTCATATGCAAAATTGGAACCAAGGAACCAAGGTACTCTGGGGAGTACCATGGACAGAGCTATGGGTCCCTTCCCTGCTTTCCAGACAGAAGGCTTGGGGCATGGGGCTCCTGGGTGTGAAACCTGGCATAGAATTTGCCTATCTGGAAAGAGAAGTGGCCAGACATTCCAAACACTCCAGGAAGCAGGGAGAGCTTTAAATTTCTAGGAAGTCCTACCTGCTTTCCTCAGTCCATACACAGGCAAGGGACACACAGGTGACCCACGCTGTCAGCACTCTCCAGCAGGTTCTCACTCCCAAGAGAGTCATTCAGGGCCAGGGAGCTAGGAGTGGTGGGGTCTCTGTGTGTCTCTGCAGGGGGGCGGCTGTGATGACGAGGAGGCATGGAAGGGAAGTGTGTTGACGTGTGCATTTTGTTTCTAGGACCCCTACTCTGCCTTCTTTAAAGTAGACACTGACAGGGATGGCATAATCAACATGCATGATCTTCACAGATTGCTACAGCACCTACAGCTCAACATGAAGGACTGCGAGTATGAGCGCTTCCTCAGCCTCCTGGGCTTGAGACTTAGTGTCACCCTAAACTTCCGAGAGTTTCAGAACCTGTGTGAGAAGAGGCCCTGGAGAGCAGATGAGGCCCCTCAGAGGCTCATTAGGTAAGAAGGTGATGTCAGAGCCATCAGTGTGGTCAGAACTGTCGGTGTGTGCCAGCCTCGCCATCTGGAAGGCCAGCGGTTCTGCTGCAGCCACAGTGGGACACAAAATTGACTCTGGAGCCGTCTGGTTTTTTTTTTTCTGAGGTTAAGAAAACACACACATGCACACACATACACGCACATGTGTACACACACACCACATGGCAAGTGTAACAAATAAGACACACAAAGTTCCATTATGGGGTGTGACTTCATAACTCACTGCTTATTGTTCCAGGCTTTTTCTCGTATGTGTAAATGCAGACACGTACCTACTTGTCCATTTCTCTGCCTGGAGTCAGATGTGTACTTTCTGCTCAGTCTTTCAAGGCTGACATTGGCAAGGCCACTGTAGGGCAGGGGGCGGGGCCTCACAGGAGCAAGGTTCAAGTGCCCCTTTGAAGCAAACTCAGGACCTGTCCACGTGAATGCATGCCCTTTTCTCCTCCTCAGCTCTAGACGTCCATTAGGGTGGCACAGAATTTCTCAGGAGATGAAGGAACCTCCTTCCAGCCTCTCCTGGACAGCGGTGCCTCTACACCCCTGCCTAACCCACAAGACCTCACCCTGGTCAGGAGAGTCTCAGTGCCCACCCAGGCTTCCCTCATTGCTCCTCTGACCTTTGAGATCAGAGTGAGTGCGGCTACCACCTACCAGACACCTGCCACAGAAGCACACAATGCCAGCTGCAGAAATCTGACACATGTGCAGAGCAGCTGGTCTGTCCTGGACAATTGCAGCGTCATTCTTTCTAAAGTGTGTTCGTGTCTATGCACATATGGATGTGAGTGCGTGTGCATGTGTGCACTGGTGTGTGGAGCTCAGAGGTCAGCCCCCGAGTCGACCTCAGGGTGTTCCTGGGAGTTGTCTACCTTACCTTTGAGACAGTACCTCTCACTGAAATGTGGGGCTCACTAAGCTAGACTGGCTGGTCACTGAGCTCCAGAATCCTCCTGTCTCCACATTCCTAGCATTGGATCACAAACATGTGCCACCACAGCTAGCTTCTTACATAGGTGCTGAGGCTTCAACTTGCGTCCTCAGGCTTGCAAGGCAAGTACTTACAGACTTCTTCCCAGCAGTTTTTCTTGACATACGAGCAGAACTTCCCCCCTCCTGGGGTGCTGAAGGGCTGCAAACCACAATTCCCTCTCTCTAAGCACATGGAGCTGCCGGAGGTATGGCCCTGTACCAAACCCTGGTAACATTTCACAATGCTACAGAAGCTCTTTGACCATGTCCCTTGCTTAATTCACCCTGAATTTATTGGTTTTATTGTAATTATTACTGGGAATGGGGAGCAAGAAAATGACTATAATCCCTTCCTAAGAAAAATGGTCACGTGACACAGGAGCGGGATGCCCACAGTCCTCACTCAGGTTCTAGAGGGTGTTAATGTGAGATCTGTTTGCTTAACATCGAAGTGGAACCAACACAATCCTGCCAGGGGGAAAAGAGATGGCTCAGTTGTTAGGAGCATTTGCTGCGCACACAGAAGACCTGAATTTGGCTCCCAGGCTCACAACCACATACAACTCCAGCTCCAGGGGATCTCATACCTTCTTCTGCCCTCCATAGGGCGTCTGCATTCACATGTATGTATCCACCACACACACACACATAAATGGAGAGACTAGGAACCTGTTTAGAGGACATGATTTTGGTTGTCAGTACCCACATACCTTTAACTCCAGCTCTAGGGAGGTATGACATCTCTGGCCTCCTTGGGCACCTATCCTCACATGCACTTAACACAAACACATGTTCACACAGATGTATAATTTTAAATAATAATATAATAATGCTGCCAAACAGTATTTTGGAGAATATGCAGAATGAGCATAGACTTAGCTGTCTAGTGATATGTCTTGGTCACACCTGCTCACTTGTTGGATATTTGCAAAGGACCAGCTTGGTGCTGGGAACTGTCTGGCTTCAGTGGTGCCAATGTGAACAGGGATCAGTGCTGAGAAGGACACAGCAGTAAAGAGCCGCACTAGAGCCCAGGGAGGGTAGAGACAGGAGTCCAGAAGAAGCAGGTACACTTGACTGGGTCTTGAATGTGAGGAGGAATCTTTCAGTTGGTAGAAGGTGATTCGAGGCCAGAGAACAACGTTTGCATAAGTGCCAGGCCTGTTCAGAATGCTGCTGGGCCTTCGCAGTATTTGTTATGATACCCTGCTCCTATTAGAATCCTCTGTGGTATATTGACTAGTAGGCCTGTCTCAGTAGGTCGTTGGCTCACAGTCTCTTTAGCCTGAGAGTCCCAGCCTTCCTCCTACAAGCCATTACAGCACTCCTCTAGGGACATCATGGTACACCCCCAGGGCCAAGCCCAGTGGCATGGCAGGCAGAGCCACTGCTAGGCCACCAGCTAACACCAGAGATAGATCTGGACTTCTGACAGATGTGGGGCCTTCTCCTAGCTCACTCCCCTCTCTGACTGCCCACTCTCCTGCTCAGGATCTAATTTCCAACTAGAAAATCTTAGGGTTGAGTCTGGTGGTAGTCGTGTAAGTAATGCCTCTCCTAGGTCTGCCTTTAGGGCAATGAAAGGGGACGGAGAGATGGGGGAGGAGGGTGGCAAGGATTGCATCGCAGCCTCTCAAGGCCCAGGGGTTCCCTGAACCTTCACACTGCCTGTGAGCTGTTCCCTGGTCCCCGGCTTTAGCCTCCTTTCTGCTGGGACACTTGTCTCTGAGGTAATCTGATTGCTTTTGTCTGGCATTTGTATTAAACCATAGTTCCTTAAGGCTATAGACTTTGTAGTCAGTGACTGCAGGTTTTGGTCCTGTGTTTGCCGTGGCTGACCAGAGCAAAGCTAGTGTGACAGTTGTCAGAACCTAAGGTGCCAAGGAACAAGAAAGGAATGAGGCATTGCTGGAAGAGATGGAACAGGATCGATGCACGGGGAGAAGAGGCAAGGGTAGAAAAGCCTGAGCCTGGGTAGCTGTGTGATGATGGAGGCCCAGAGCCTAGAGAAGCAGCAGGGTTGTAGGCAGGCTGCTTGGTTAATAATAGGGTGTATGATTTGGTTGGGGTAGCCAGTGCCCGAGGTCCTGGAGCACCTCTAGGGAGGTCCAGGAAAGGCCTCTGTGAACAGATATTATTAAGAGAGTTTAATGGTGACAGCTTTCCCTGTGAGCAATCTGTGGCCATAACAGTATGTTTGTGTCTTCCTGTGATACCACAATCCACTAATGGTCCTGAGTTCACAAGTGGCCTCAGTTTCCCCAAGTACTCTTCCTTTCACTTGACTCCTGTGGCCACTGGTGACACAAGTTCTTATGAGCCAATGTTTGTATGGGTTTTCAGTTTTATTTTCTTGAGACAGGTCTCTTTGTACAGCCCAAACTGGCCTGAGAACTCTTCCTCCCCTCACTCCTGAGAGCTGAGGTGTACACCTCCAAGCCCAGCTTATATTGCAGTCTTAGTAACTCTCAGGTCCCAGTCATCTATATGTACAGGCTACAGAGTGCCTTCCAAAGCGCTGTACTGGAGGCCGGGATCCTGTGTGGATGCAGGGGAAGTATCTGTAATAAACAGATCACAATGCCATAACCTCCAGCACAGGGCTGTCCAGGCCACAAAGTTGCCAAGCACAGGTCAGCATGGCAGGTTGTTCTGAGTGACAGTTTGAAGTGAGCCACATGTCAACCACACGAGAACCTACACCTGAGCTGGAGCCCAGGAACAGAGGCAGGGTCCTTCCCCATGACCGTTTTCCAGGTGGCTGGTCTCATCTTAAGGTACTCCTTTAATAGGCCCAGGCAAGAGGGGCTACATCTGGCAGGACAGATAAACTCGTGCCTACTGTTTCTGATAGGATCCCACCTATTCACAGGTGCTGTTATTTATTGGCACAGATAAATTATTTACCAGGTTTTGACTCCTGCTGTGCTGGCAGATGGTGGTTGTTTACTTGTGTAAACAAGATGCAGCCTTGTTCCATCTCGGTGCTTAAAGTAACTCGGGTCAGAATGCGGCTTTCAAGAGTGGAGACAGAGGGCAAGCCACCCAAAGCTGCTGCTCTGCACAGTGTAGGGCCACCCAGGGAAGCCCCCACCCCTCAGCACCTCACCGGGCTTCCATCCTCACATGCCAGTGGAGAAAGAAATCACAGGCTCCTGCCAGCCTTTGCAGGCCCCCCACAGGAGCTACAACCACAGGGGCTGGGGTGACAGAGCAGCGGATCCTTTCCCACCCTTGAAGTTCCGTGATTCTAAGCAGTCCAGTAGGCAGTTGGAGAGAAATGGCGAAGAAACATGGGTGAGGCCAGACATTTATAGCATTGCTCTGTGGGTAGAGGAGGTGTGGTCAGAGATATCAGAAGCATTAAGTGTTAAAGGCTAGAAGGGTCAGACTAGGAGGCAGGTAACAGGGCCCAGAGAAAGGCACGGATCCTGAAGACAGCCACTAGCCAGGCCAGTGGTCTCAGTCGTCCACACTTTCCTGATCTGCTTGGTAGGCAGAAAAGCCCAGGCATCCTCCTCCCTCTCCAGCCACAGCCACCACTGTGTCTCACGCAGGCTTGCCAGGCCAGCAGCACAAGGTCTTTTTAAGGTCTCTTAAGTGTCCCTCATCTGTAAGTAAATACAAAGGAGTTGTGATAATCTTTGAATCCTATAAGCTTACCCCTTGAAAATTCATTACACAGGGATCTCAGCCGTTAGGAGCACACCCTGCTCTTACGGGGCCCCGAGTTCAGTTCCCACCACTGTCAGGCAGCTCCAACTGCCTGCAGCCCCGCTCCTCTGAGGGCACCTACACTCATGTGCACTTACTGCCCCCATATATACACATCATGTTTAGAAATTATGAAAATAAATCTTGAGAAGGAAAAGTAGCTGGGTTTGGGAGAAGGAACCTCCATGCTTTTTAATTGCTCCTCGGCTGACTTGAGTCTCTTCTTTCATCTGGATTTGCAAAATCAGAACTAAACATTGCTAGTTGTTTGCTTCCTAAAACACATTATATTATACATATATTCTGTTTTCCAACATCCCCAGGGAGGAAACAGGTCCTGTGAGCTTTGTGTGCTGGGGGAAGGATGATTTTTCTTAAATCTGAAAATAAAGTTTCCAAAGGCCCCCTGCCATGGAGCCGGGAGAAATAACGTGTTGTGAGAACCGTTGGACTAGATGTGAAACCACAGCCTGTGATGGCATCTTTGAAACATCAAGGGTGGGAGGGGGCTTTGGGGGAATCCTAATCCTGTCACTTCTAAACACAGTTGTTTGTTTTTCTTTTAAGATATAAACAGAAAGTTGCAGATTCAGAACTAGCCTGTGAGCAGGCTCATCAGTACCTCGTCATCAAAGCCAAAACCAGATGGGCAGACCTGTCCAAGGTAAGGAAGGGGAGGGAGCCAAGCGGTGCAGAGCTGAGACAGCGCCAGGTACCCACGGTGCTGGTTCCTGCTGTTCATCACAGACTTTCCACAGCACTCCGAATGGCTTTGTCTCTAACCAAAACACCATCAGTGACTGCGGTTATGATGAAGTTATTTGGATATTTCTATTGTTGTTAAGTAATAGAGATGGTATAACTATAAAGACCTAGAACATTTTTTGTCTACTTTTAACAACCAAGGAAAGTGAATACCTCCAAAGAAGGTATTCTGTTTTTAAAACATTAGCAGTTACCAAAGATGCTCAAAAATACAATAAAGAACTGGTGAGATGTCTCAGCAGGTAGAGGAACTTGCTGCCAAGTTGGAAGACCTGAGTTCAATCCCCAGAACCCACGTGGGGAAGAGGAGAACTGACTCTTCCATGTTGTCCTTTGACCTCCACACATGTACTGTGGAATGTGCACATGCGCACAAAGGTAGAGGAAAGAAGTTGCCCATAGTGGTGTGTGCCTGCCATTCTAGCACTCTTGATCAGGGAGGCCAAGGTAGTGAGATCCCTGAGAGTCATGGGCAGAATGAGGCTGTATAGGAAGGCTGTGTCTCGGAAGGAAGGGAGGGAGGGAGGAAGGAAGGAAAGAAGGAAGGAAAGAAGGAAGGAAAGAAGGAAGGAAGGAAGGAAGGAAGGAAGGAAGGAAGGAAGGAAAGAAGGAAGGCTGTGGTGGTACACACCTTTAATCCCAGCACTCGGGAGGCAGAGGCAGGTAGATATCTGTGAGTTTGAGGCCAGCCTGGTCTACAAAGTGAGTTCTAGGACAGGCTCCAAAAGCTACAGAGAAACCCTGTCTCTTGAGAAAACAAAAAACAAAACAAAAGGAAGGAAGGAAGCAAGAAGGAAGGAAGGAAGGAAGGAAGGAAGGAAAGAAAGAAAGAAAGAAAGAAAGAAAGAAAAAAAGAAAACTCAGGTATGGTGGTTCCCAGCTCTAGGAAAGTGGAGGTAGTGGGATCAGGAGTTCAAGGTCAGCTTCAGTTACAAAGTAAGTTTGAGACCAACCTGAGATACATGAACTACTATTGAGAGGGAGAGGGGAAGAAAGATATTAAGTTTATGATTTTCAAATTTTTAATTGGGTTTATTAATCTAAGATAGTGTGAGTATCTTTCAAGAATTAATCATTTTAATTTCATGCCCCTGAAGAATACCAGCCTGAAAACATCATCTGGGTGTTTAAGAAAAATCTGTGTGTTGACAAAGCACACAAACAACCCCAGAGACACACCACTAGATTCTTCCCACTTCAGCTCTTATTTCAGGGTCACCGGTGGAAGGAAAGTGTGAAGCTCAGGAGTCTGTGGAGAAGTTCCTGGTGTTAGCTCATGCTGGGGAGGATTTAAGGTTTAAGGGGAAAATCTGAGAAAGGCCCCCCAGTGATTCGCACAACAGCCTACCGGCAGGCATCGTAAGAGCTGATTTAGCCCATCTTGATGAGATGACAGGAAGTGCATTTCCAAGGCACATGGCCCCCATGAGCAAGCTCATAAGTTGTGGTGTCATGGATATCCAATTGACAATGGCTGTGACAGCTAAACCACAGGACAACAGCACAGGATGGGCAGAAGGGGGTTCTTCCTGACTCTAGGACACAGTGACTTCACTCTAGAAAGGAAGGTCACACTTGCACGCTGGAGTATCCTCCCTCTGTCTTTAGGGGTGACCCTTCCATGTCTGGATAGGTCATCATCTGTCCTCCTATTGGTTCTTTTTTGGCTCCTGCCTAATACAGAGTTCTGTTTGATTCTCTTAAGCCCAGGTCCACTTTTCCTCCACACTGTGCCCTCAATAGAGTGGGCTGTGTGGCCCAGTGAGGCAGGCTGCACCCTCCTTTAACTCCGTCCTCCTTATTGCTGTCCCCTCTCCAAGGTGGCAGGCCAGCCTCCTTTCCTCTGCCTCCTCCCTGCTCTGACCAAGAGTTGCCCATTTCCACCTGCTGTTCTGTTCTGCTCTCGTGGACAGCTTACGGCCAGGCACAGTTGCCAGCTCTGGGAATTTTCTAGCTGTCTTCCTGTCTGGTTAAGGACACTCCCTTCTGATCCTAGTGTGCTGAAAGGTATTGTCACCAGTGAGGGTCAGGTTTTGTCATGTGCTTCTGCATCCATTGAGATGATCACGTGACTGTTTCCCCCTCTGCCCATGTGACGGATCACAGTGAAGGATTTTCAAGCACTTTGTGTGATGAATCCCACCCCGCCAAGGCAACCAGTTCTCACTTACGGTTGGTTCCATTTGCTGGTACATGCTTGCCCTCAGGTGTGATTGGTCGGAAGCCAACTTGTCAAGTGCTGTCCAACTTGTCACGCTGGGCTCACAGCGTGAGGAGGAAGGGTTCTTCTGTCTTCCTCGAACCTTGGGCTTCCGTAGGCAGCAGCTCACCCTCAGGCCTCACTCTTCCACATCTAACAGCTGGAGGTAGTTGTTTGCTCGGGTGTCTGCATGCCCTTGGGACAGTGCGATGCCTTCTAGGACTCCTACATGCCGGGCCTATGCTAGGACCCAGTGCTGTTGGCCTGGTTATGTTAAAGCTGGGACTCTTCTGGGGTGGGGTATATAGACCACAAACATGTAATTTAAAGAGAATTAAAGGAATCACCATGCAGCCTCCATCTGGATGGAGGGAAAGAATATTATCTTAGGCCAGCAGTCAGCACGCTTCTGCAGAGACCAGACAGACTACATTTTGGGTGTTACACCCCCCCCCCCCCCCCCCCCCCCCCCCCCCCCC